ACTAATATAACGTGTCATGCAGGCGGATGCAGCGGCGGCGTGGTCGGCGGGTGCGTCGGGCCTGGCGACGGGCGGCGAAGCGGCGGGGGTGCAACTGGAGCCCGGCGGGTCGTGAACGTCAGCATGCGAAATGATACCATCACAATCGCTGCGTCGTAGCCGGGGAGAACGCCGAGGTGCAGCCGGCTCGACGAATGCAACGGCGGCGTGGTGGGCGGGAGCGGCGGTGGAGCAGGGGGCGACGGCAAGGTTGCATCCGGAGCCCGGCGGGTCGATCTGCATCGGCTGCACGTCGGCCACGTCGGCTTCTGCCAGCTCTGGCTGCTGGGCGGCGGTCGGCGTGGAGAATGGCAGGACAGTTTGGGGCGCATTTGAGAGCGCTGGCCACGACGCGCCGTCGGTTTGGTCGGGGTGGTTCCTCACCCCTGGTGTTTCTTCATTCCGTCGGGGAGGCTCTGTGCAGGGCGAAGCGAGGGCCGTGGGGAAGGGGCCAGTGGGGCGATGGGCAGAGAGGGGGCAGTGACCCGATGTGTGGGCAGGTTTCTAGGTCTGGGGCCCCGACGCGCCGTCGGTTTGGTCGGGGTGGTTCCTCACCCCTGGTGTTTCTTCATTCCGTCGGGGAGGCTCTGTGCAGGGCGAAGCGAGGGCCGTGGGGAAGGGGCCAGTGGGGCGATGGGCAGAGAGGGGGCAGTGACCCGATGTGTGGGCAGGTTTCTAGGTCTGGCTGTGTGGACAGCCAGCAGCGAGAGTAGGATGTGCTCAGTACCTGTGCACGAAGGACAGAGGCGGGTCGGAAGGTCGAGACTGCTGACCGCTCCTCCATTGCTCCCCCGCCGGTGGACGCCGCGTGCGATGCTGTCGTCGGTATGCGGGAGGCGTGCTAAAGTGCTAGCGGGGCGGACGCGACAACCTGGCGTTGCCATCGCGAAGGGCTCGGGCTCGAGTGAGCGCCGCCGGCGACGCGTCGTTGCGGCCGTGGCCGCGCGAGCCACTTGCATCGACGGGCTGCTTAGGGGGGGGGGCGCCAATGAGGCTTGCCCGTCGGCAATCCATCCAGTATTGAGCTCGGGCATTTGTGGTGGAGGCAGACCGCTCTCCTCGGCCAAGAGTAGACGTGCGCGAGAATTAATCTTGGGAGTGGGTTACACTACAGAAATAAATTTCTACGTTGAACGATAATGTTCGTTCGTACGTGCATCCGCGGCGCCCAGCGCGGTGCCAGCGGCTCCCATCATACCTCTAAGAGGCCACCCACCTCCGTATAGACCCTTATATCCGCGGTTTACGCCCAATAGAGGCAGCTGCAAGAGGGCCCGGACGGGCACTGCGGCACACACTGCTCGCTGCTCGGCCATGCGGTAGCGTCTGGTGATGCCGCCCCTGCGCGGGCGGGGGCGTCTCGCTCGGCAGCAACTGCGCCGCGCAGCGCAGGTTCGAGGGTCGCGGTGGGTGGGTGCACTGGAAGACGTAGCGGTCGAGAAAGCGCTCAGCGACCGCTACGTCTCGAGGATGGAGCCGTCGCGCGGACCCGACCGGCCGACCGGCAGTAGCAGCAGGCGCCGGAGGGCGCGGGAGGCAGCGGCGACACCTCGGGCCAGAAGCGCGAGCCCTAGGCTGGTGAGGGGGCCCGCTCATGCGTAAACGGCTCTGGGACTTAGCTAAATCGCGCATCGAAATCGGGACGATTTTGCCAGGGCACCGTCACAAGGTGCACACTCTTTTCGCGCCATTTTGCAATCTCCAGTCGGCCCACACGATCTCTAGGCGCCTTTGGCGCGAAGCGGTCAGAATCTCCACCTCTGTCGCAAGATCTCAAGCGACTGCACGCACCAACTCGAGATCTCAGACTCCTCTCGAGCATCTACACCGGAGAAGATTTGCCTCCACCAGTTCTTCAATCTACTGCTGCTCTTGGCAGGAGATTTGCCACTTAAGAGATCTCTAAAAGGCATCTACGATCTACAGTCCAAGGATCTTCCGATGTTGCGCAGAGATTTCCATGTATGTCGCACGCGGGCAAACCTTCTCACTGCCCCGGCGCCCACGTCTCGATCTTCTTGGGAGGCAGCTGGTTCGACAGGTCCTCTCCGTGGCCTAGGCAGCCGCTTTCGCCCACGCCCCAAGCATAAACAGCGTCGTCGGCGGTGATGGCGAGGCTATGGTAAACTCCAGCTGACACAGCGACGACGCGCCGCCCAGCGAAGGCCTCGACCTTCTTCGGCAGCAGCTGGATCTGCTGGTCGCCGTGGCCCAGCCGGCCCCAGTCTCCATCGCCCCAGCTCCAGACGGAGCCGTCGGCGGTGATGGCGATGCTGTGCACACCTCCCGCCGAGACAGCGATGACGCGCTGGCCGGCAAAGGCGTCGATCTTCTTGGGCAGCAGCTGGTCCTGCTCGTCGCCGTGGCCCAGCTGGCCAGAGTATCCCCAGCCCCAGCTCCAGACGGCGCCGTCGGCTGTGAGGGCGAGGCTGTGGTCGCTTCCAGCCGACACGGCGACGACGCGCTGGCCAGCAAGCTGGCCAGCAAAGGCCTCGACCTTCCTCGGCAGCAGCTGGCGCTGCTGGTCGCCGTGGCCCAGCTGGCCAACACCTCCATAGCCCCCGCTCCAGACGGCGCCGTCAGCGGTGAGGACGAGGCTGTGGTTGCCTCCAGCCGACACAGCGACGACGCGCCGCCCTGCAAAGGCCTCGACCTTCTTCGGCAGCAGCTGCGTCTCCTCGTCGCCGTGGCCCAGCTTGCCAAAGACTCCAAAGCCCCAGCTCCAGACGGCGGCGTCGGCTGTGAGGGCGAGGCTGTGGTATGCTCCAGCCGAGACAGCGACGACGCGCTGGCCAGCAAAGGCCTCGATCTTCTTCGGCTGCAGCTGGTCCTGCTGGTCGCCGTGGCCCAAGCGGCCAAAGTTGCCCTCACCCCAGCTCCAGACTGCGCCGTCGGCGGTGAGGGCGAGGCTGTGGTAGACTGCAGCCGACACGCTCACGGCGCGCTCGCCACCCAACGTGGACGGGAGGCGGGTCGGCGTGTTGAGCCGCGTCACGCCCTCGCCGTGACCGAGGAGGCCTGGTAATGCCTCCTCGTCCTCCTCCGCCTCCTCCTCGCCCTCCGTTGCCGCTGACCCGCACGACGAGAGCCGCCCCTCGCCGATGAAGACGCTGTGCCGTTCGCCTGCTGCCGCCCTCGCCGGCCGGTTGGACTCGTGCAGCAACGCCGAATAGCACAGCCACCGCACGGCGCAGTCCTCGCCCGCTGGCGGCGGCGGCAGCTCGAAGCCGTGCTCTTGCGCCCACAAGCGGATTCCCTCCTCCGCAAGCGAGGCGTGGAAGAGCAGCGAGACGGCCGCGACGCGAGCGATGTCGATGGGGCTGTTGAAGCGGGAGAGGACGCGCTCGAGGAGCTCCCTGGGGAGGTCGAGCAGGCGGGCGGGCGGCGGCGCGTCTGGCGAGGGGGCGGCGGCGGTGGCGGAGGCGAGGCGGCGCGAGCGGCGGCGCGGCGGGGTGGACATCGCGAAGAAAAGAAAGATCCGCGCGGGACCACAGGGAGGGGGGGGGGGGCCGAGAGCGAGGGGTCCGGGGGGGAGCACAAACATAGGACGCCCAGCCTTGCCCTCGTGCCGCCGAGTGCATATCCTATGCGAGAGAGATCCCCTGTGCCCTGTGCCCAGCCCTCTCCGCGCGGCGATGCGCCCTCCCCCCTCGCTTTTGCAAAATCCTGCAAAGGTGGGGACGTGTCTGTCCTCGACCCAGCCCTAGCTTGGGATGTCCGTTGTATTTATTTATTTATTAGGGGGGGGGGTCGCGGCGTGCGACCACCTTTTTTTGCAGCATTTTCATTTATTTTTTCGCTCTCTGGACTGCTCGAGACTGAGGAAGGAGAGAGTTTTGTTTTTGTCGTCCGCGCTTTGCCTGTTGAAAGAAAGAAACCACACACGGCCCGAACGAGGGAGGGGGGGGACAGGGTCCCCACCTGCACGAGCAGGATTTTGGAAGGACGAACGATCAGGGGGCACAGCCACAGGGGGTTCCTCTCCTGCTCCCGACAAGGGACACGACAGGCTCGCAGCGCGGTGCTCGGTGGACTCCCAACTCCACTGGCGGTCTCATCTCAGTCTAGCGACCTGCCTCCTGAGGGAGGGTGTAGAGGATGTAGAGTGTAGAGCGCTGTAGAACTGTAGAGCTGGAGAGCGCTCTGGAGCGCTGTAGAGCTGTATGTAGAGCTCTACATCCGCCGCGTGACGAGGCGCGTGCGTTGTAGAGCGATGTAGAGGCGCTCTACAACGTGAAATCTCTACAACAAACTCTACATGATAAGCGGCGAACGAGGCACGGTCGCTCTCCGACATGAGGCGCGTTGCACTTGCCAGTGCTGCCCTGGCCTTCTGTCTGCCCGCCCAATGGGTGGCAGGTGCCTCTGCTGCTGTGGCATGCCTCACGGCTGCGACTGGCCGGCGCCTCGGCGCGTCAGCTCGGCTCGGCGTAGCGATCGTGGCCAGCGCAACTCGCCTGGACTCAACGCTCAGGACAGGAGCTCCCGCACGCGCTGGCGCGAGTCATGGCGCATGCAACGCGCCTGAATGCTCGCCTCTCGCCTCGCGCAAATACGACCGTCCTCGCAGCCGACAGTCCACCGCCTACTAAAGAAGCACTGCGATGAATGCGGCACCGGCGACGCATGGCAGGCTGGTCATGACGCAGTTATAGGGTGTTGTGTGCCGTCAGAGGGACTCTCTGTGTGTCAGTGATAGTCAGGGCCGTCCAGCAGAGCTCCAGTAAGCTCGGAGACACCCCATTAGTGCGACTCGACCTCTTTGAGTCACTGCCTTCCCGGCGGTTTGGCTGTGTAGAGCCTCTACAACAAACTCTACAGCAAAATCGCGCTCTACATCGCTCTACACTCCCGACGGGGACACCACCACCCTCGCCCAGGGATCTACAACGCTGTCTCAAGGTCCGACCTGTGGGCTCTGCCTACGCTCGGCACCGGGCACCGCCTCGGTATACAAAATGCGCCTGCGGGCGGACCCTTACAGATCACAGATCACGCACGCGCCTCGTTCGTCACGCGGCGGATGTACAGCTCTACAGCGCTCCAGAGCGCTCTACATCTCTACAGCTCTACAGCGCTCTACACTCTACATCCTCTACAAAAGAAAGAAAGAAAGCAGACAACCCAAGGGAGGGATGGGAGGACATCCTCTACACCCTCCCTCAGCCGGAAAACACCTTTTCTCATCACAAAGGGGAGAAATCCGTTTTGCGTCGTGTGTCTCGCATCGGCGTATGTCGGCCTCGCAAATCGGCCTCGCAAACCCCTGCTGTCATTCTCTCGCTCGGCGCCGTGCTTCGCGTCGCGAGCGCCATCGCATCCTTTCCGACGCCGCCCCACTCCGGCTATCACCTGAGCGGCCGCGCCAGCGGTTTCGAGGGCTGGTATCACCGACTCACGGTCGACGACGCCTCCCTCTCCTTCATCTACTCCATCTTTGATGCGGCGGACGAAACGAGCCCGCGGCACGGCTGCCACATGCAGGTGTGCGGTCCGGATGGGGCGGTCACATGGCAAGAAGGCCCAGCTGCGAGCTTCTGGGCCGACGACCGCAAGCTTGCTCTCGGCAAGTCCTTTCGCGGTGTCGCCTTCTCGAAAATGGCCTCGCCAGCGGCCTTCGGCCGCTTCGTGCAGGACGGTTTCCAGCTCAGCAGCACCCGGCACCAGGGCGTGCTGCGAGATGGAACCGCCCGGTGGAGCTACGAGGTCGCGCCTCAGGCCGACGGCTTGTGCCGAGCACAAGTCAGGCAGCTCGGGCTCGCGTTTCAAGCTCGGTCCCCACGCCATGGTAGGTGGGCTGGGGCGGTCGGCTGGGAGACAAGCAGTATTCGACCGCTGGCTGGCTCGCCGCCTTCCCCGTCTTTGAGCCCATGTATCAGGTGGTGATGGCGCACGGCCTCGCCTCGGGATGGGTCGAGTGGCGCGGAGAGCGGCGCGAGTTTAGGGACGCGCCCTGCTACACCGAGAAGAACTGGGGCGGCGCCTTCCCGCGGCGCTGGTGGTGGGTGCAGTGCAACGCCTTTGAGGCGCGCGGCCTCACGCTGACCTGCGCGTGCGGCGAGCGGTCCAACCCGCTGCTCGAGCCGCTGCTGCCCGGCCGCACCGAGGACGCCTGCATGGTGGCGCTGCACGACGAGTCCGGCAAGTTCTACCCCTTCCCTAACTGCGAGTGGGACGTGGAGTGGGGTCGCTGGACGGTGCGGGGCGCGCTCGACGACCTGCGCGTGCGGGTGGAGGCCACTTGCGACGGCGAGGCGGCCTCGGTGGTGCGATGCCCCGCCTCGGACGGCATGACCGCCTCCGCGAGGGAGCGCTTCGATGGGTCGCTCTCCGTGCGCGTGTGGCGGGTGACGGCCAGAGAGGAGGAGGAGGAGGTGCTCATCGACTCGACGAGCAGCCGAGCCGCTGTCGAGGTGGGCGGCGAGGGCTGGGAGGGCGGCGGGCGCTGGAAGGGGTCGTGCGAGGTCGCGGGCGCAGCACGGGCGATCCTCTCGGCCGACGTGCCGCTGGAGCGCTTCCGCGAGGCGATCCCGGGGCTGTGATTGATGAAAAACCCCATTTCATCCCCAATTTACAGTGTAAAACAGATCTCTGTCGCCAGCACGCCGCTACGCGGTCGCCGCCCCGCACTGCACACCACAGGGCACAGCTCGACCTCGAGCGTGACTCGGGGGCTCGTTGCACCTTAGGGTACCCTTAGGCTTAAAAGGGTGGGCCCTGGGGCGCCTGCGGCTTAAACGGCTTAAAACCTGCCATGGCAGGTTTTAAGAGCTGCTGGGCCGCCGATTCCTTAAACGGTCTTAAACGCTTAAACGGTGCGGGAGAGCTCCCGAGGTCGATGGTCCGGGAGGCTCCCCGGTAGACGCCGGAGGCCGCGCGGGAAGCTGGCTACAGTCAGCTAGCACGCGTCCCCTATGCGAGTATGGCTCCTGCCAGTGCACCAGACTTACAGATGTGTCTTCAGTGGCGGGTTTGTGCCTATTAACGGCAGTATTGGAGAAACCGGCACGGAACCCAGCGACGCGTGCCGGTGAGGCCGATTTTCTTAAACGGACTTAAAAGAGGGACTCCCCCCGTGCCTGCAATCTCTTAAATGACAATTTGAGCCCCCAAACCTCCTCATTTCGGCTAACGTACACGCGCCACGCGCCTGCCGCCTCGCCCGGCTAAATAGACCTGAGCCCTGGCCTCGACACCTCGACACCAAAACCTCGACACCAACTCGACACCTCGACACCCCATGCCAACTCGACCAACTCGACACCCCTCGACACTCCTCGACACCCCTCGACACCATCTAGGCTGACACCATGCTCGTCCGTGTCAAGGTGCCAAACTCGACACCTCGACACCGCTCGACACCCCTCGACACCGCTCGACACCGCTCGACACCGCTCGACACCACCTCGACACCACCTCGACATCTCTGATGATCCTAACACAGCAGAGACGTAGACCCATTGGAGTCACAGAGTTAGAAAATCAGGGTTGCAGCAGCAATCAAACTCGGCTGGCAGTACTTTCATCCCTCAGTTGCAGCCTCTCAAGTTCTAGCTCAAGTTGCAGCTCAGTTGCACCCCTGTTGATGTAGCAACCATGGCAGTACTCAGGTAGCCCTCAGGTGCTGCACAGCACCTTGTACAGTGGCAATGAATCCTCACACCAGGTGAGCTTGTGCCATGAGTGCAGACCTGTGCGCTGTGGTCCACATGCGCTTTGTGCACCGGCGACGCTGCAATGGCGACACTGCAGCGGCGGCGACGCTGCTGCGATGGGGTACTGTAGCCCTTAGCTGCTGGACAGCACCTTGTGCAGTGGCAATGTCCACTGACTCATGGCACCAGCCTTGTGAAAGGAGCGCTGTGGTCAGTTGCGCTTTGTGCGCTGGTGGCGCTGCAGGGGCGACGACGCTGCAGCGGCGAGCCGACGACAGGCCTCGACAGGCCTCGACAGGCCTCGACAGGCCTCGACAGGCCTCGACAGGCCTCGACAGGCCTCGACAGGCCTCGACACCTCTATCCCTCGACAGCAGCTCGACACCCTCGACACCGGGCCTCGACACCTCGACACCAGGGCTCAGAAATAGACCTCGAGAAGTAGACGGGTACACGGCCACGGCTCGTGTGCGTGTAAAGACGCGCCGAGTGAATCCGAGCGCTCTACGCTCGTCGTCGGCAGCTCTTCCCCCCGACCTGCGGCTGCGCCGCGGCTCGGCGAAACTCTCAAGAAAACGTGGCGCGCACACCCAACGTTATCGGATCTTTGCGAGAGGTGGCGAGCGGAGCAAGAGCGGTGTGCGCGCGTCCACGCTGCGCTGCGCAGCGGCTCCCCCGCGACTACAGCCCCTCTCGCAGCCGCAGCCGTAGCCGCAGCCCCAACTCTCGGTTCTCTCGCCGCTCTTTTAGTGTCGGGTATAGTGTGTGACCAGGGTGCTGACTGCTGTCTGCTGACTTTTTTTTGAGAAGGAAATGCAAATGGGAAAGTAAAAGCAAAACTCGTCCAATGTCCCCACCAAAACTCTCTGTTTTAGCTTTTAGAAGGCAGGGGCACACAACTAGACAGCTAGACACATACCGACCGCATGCCAGAAGGAGTGTTTTCTTATCATTCGTGCCGGGGTGCCCCCGGCTGTGCAGACTCCAGTCACCAAACTGTGTGCGCGGGGCGCCGGCTTCTCCTTCGGGGGTGGCACACGCCGCCAGCAGGCCGCCAATATCGGCAATAGACAGTTAGTCACACAGCGAGTCGTGCTCGGCGCGTTGTAGCACACCTGTTTTGGAGTTTTGCGGGCTCTCACCCTCCGCCACCCTCAGGCGACGGCCGCGTCGTGCGTGTCGACGAAGCGTCCCGACTGGTCCTGCTTGGTCGGGTCGGACCAAGCCTCGTCCCACTCGTTCGCCTAATCTCGGGCAATCTCGCGTAATCTCGGGTGATCTCGGACCGACATGCACCGACCGCGAGCGGCCGCCACGGGGGCCACGGCACGCCCCGGTGAAGGCGGGCAACCACTTAATACGGAAGCTGACGTCCGTCACCAGCACTACCGTCCACAATTCTGCACACCACACCACCACCAACGTGAACATCTCAGATCCGATAAATAAATAAACAAAGAATCATAGAAAAGCCAAACCCAAATCGCAAACATAGAAACCCAAACACAGGCGGCGACAATAAAGAAATAAAACGGTCAAACTCTGAGAGACGAGATCTCGAGATGGGATTTTAGGGACATATGTCCCCGCCCTGCACGATCTTGTGCGTGAGGGGTCTTCAATCTCCGTCCCCTCACTCACCCAAGAGCCAAGTGCTTATATCTGTGCTTGCTAAATAAACTTAAGCCCGCAGCACTCTCAAGAGAGAAAGCGGATAGCAAACAAGAACACAACGCACTCTCTCACGTTACAAGGGGCATTCTGCAGAGATGCAGGGAGGAGCTCAGCCTTGGGAGGAGCTCAGGCGCTTAAGAAAGCGCCAGGGGGGGGGGGGGGGCACAAAGGTGTGCCGCCGCAGTGCCCACCGGTGCCTGTAAGGTGCAATGGCCTTGGAAGCCCCGCGCCAGGCCAGCAGCCGCCAGCGCTGTTGCCACGCTGCCGGCCACTCCCACGCGCACGCTGCTCGCGCCATCCTCCAGACCACCACTCTCTGCGCATGCCCGGTTGCATCCGTTTTGTCCCGCAGGCCATGTGGTGAGGCCGGAAGAGGGCGGTGACAAACTAGGAGCGTGCGCCGAGCCGACGCAGAGGAAGAGGAAGGAGGAGAGGTCGAGGAGCGCCACGCCAGGCCCGCGCACGCGCCGCCCGCGCCATCCTCCACTCAAGAGGGAAGAGAGGGAAGAGTGGTGATGGGATCACTCCGGCGAAACCCGGGGGCAGTCGGAGAAGTTGCGCCGGCACCCCAGCCGCGTAGGTAGGGGGCGTCCTTATCCGCCTCAATTTCGTTCGGGTCACTCCTCATCGCAAACCCTGTGGCTTTCACAGTCCACCGTGGCATGAAGGTTGAGCTGCGTCCGAGAATCGGCGAGGGCGACTGCGAAGAGTAAGAGAGATGGGAAGACTCTTCACAAGAGGCAGACGCCCAAGGGTGCGCGACGGCTAGCAACACACCTTCCTTCCCCCGTGAAATCCCTGTGTGGTGGCGGCGTGCCGTCCTGGTCCCAACGTCCCATCCGCCCCCTACACTTAGTTTGGTCAAGCAGCGCTGAGCGGCCTGCGGCCACGGGCCAGCGCAGAAGCAGCGGCCCCAGCGCGCATCCGCATGGTTTTCAGCTTCAGGTCGTGTAAGGCACCGATGCTTGGCGTGCGAGTCCTCAAGCGCTATTCACTAATGTGTTTTCACACCCTGTTATTGAGAAGAAAATCCCTCCTATTGCAATAGAACGGTTCAATTTGTCGTCAGCTACTGTGGCTCGCCGCCTGGGCCAACGCGCTCTGCAGCGCCGCATGGGCCGGCTCCAGGGCCAGCCCCTCCTCTAGCGCATCGATGGCGTCTCCCCATCGCCCCATCGCCCCCAGCGCCTCTCCCAAGCGCAAGTAGCCCTTGACGAAGCTCGCGTCGAGCTTCACGCACCGCCGCGCCTCGGCGAGCGCCTCGGAATTGGCGCCGAGCTTCATGAACGCGGCACTTCTGTTGCTCCGAAGCACAGCGACCTCTGCTCCGTTGCTGCTCGCCTCTCCCGCCGAGGACGCGTCGCCGTCGGCCTCGATGGCACGCGTGTACCATCCCGCCGCCTCGGCGGAGCGCCGCGCTCGAAACGCCTCGTTCCCGCGCGCCTTGTGCTCCTCTCGACCACCGCTGCTGCTACTGCTGCAGTCACGAGTGTCGTCACTCGTCTCGCGCGCGTGCAGCGACCTGTAATCCGCCTGCCACCGCTCGTTGGATGGCTCGCACTCAAGCGCCCGCTTGAGCGCGTCGGCCGCCTCGCCGTATCTCTGCTGGAGCTCGAGGGCAGCGCCGAGCCGCGCCCACGGCCTGCCCCAGCCTGGTTGGAGGCTCGCCGATCGCCGCGCGTCCTCCTCCGCTTGCGCGGGGCATGAGAGGCCGAGCGCCGCCGCTGAGCGGTTGCTCAGCAGCACCGCGAGCCGCTGCCGCTCGTCGCCGGCGACGGACGGGCCGTGTAGGCACGGCTCCGCCATTGCAGCTGTGTAGCTGCCAAAGGCGAGCTCGAAGCGCTGCGATCCCATCGCCTCGTCGCCCTGCGCCTTCCAGCCGCCGCCGCCGCGGTCAGCGGCGGCTGGGGCTGATCCCGCTAAGCTCGCCCGGCTGGCCTCGCGCCGCGCCCGCAAACCACTCGCATCAATGACCTCCCTCAGCCCCGCGCCATTCGGCCTGGCTAGCGCGTGCAGCGCGCCGCGCATCGCGTCCACCACGCGCCAGATCTGAAAGCGAATCGCGCGGCGATTCCAATCTGAGCGGACAAGGTGTCGGTGGCGGTCCAATCCATTTGGCATCCGTACAGCCGGAGAGCTCGCAGCAGCAAGTCGCTGGGCTCCACCACCTCTGAGCGGGCGCGCTCCTCGAACAGCCGCGCAACCATCACGCATAGACGGAACGAGGAGACGCCGCCCGTGTACACCTTGTTGAGCGCGTGCTGCGACAGTAGCAGCTTGAGCGCGAGAACGACGGGCACGAAAGCGGGCTGAGCGCGCGCCAGGCCGGTGAGCACCGCCGTCGCGCCGTCGTCGCTGCCGAGACTCACGTCCGCCTGGACGCTGCTGTGCGACTCGAGGCTCACGATGGGCACGCGTGCCGAGGTGATCACCCGGACGCTGCGCACCCTCGGCCGCAGCGCATCGCCAAGCCGCTGCAGCAGAGCCTCGCCTCGGGAGCCTCGCCTCGGTGCTGTGCCGCCCACGACCCGCAGGTCCACGTCACCGTCGAAAGCCGACAGGCCCGCCGGCCACGAGCCAAAAGCCTCGACCCGAGCGCCGGCGCACTCCTCTGCCACGACCTCGCGTACCAGCGCCACGAGCTGCTCGCGCGCCGCCTCCTCCTCGGCGTCCAGCGCCACGTACGCAGCAAAGGCACGCAGCTCTTCCGAAAGCGAGGCAAAGCGCGTGCCCCAAGGTGCAGGGCCTGATTGCGCAGCACGAGGCTCCGCCGCTGCTCGCTCGAAGGGGTCTCGCTCGAACGGATTCCATCGCTGCTCGTGCCGCTGCGCGCGGCCATCGGTGCGCTGCCGCTTGTGCATAGGTTGTTTCTTTCTCAAAAAAAATAGTAAAACTTTTCTGTTCACAACTAGGGACGGCCTCTGCGGCAAAGTCAAACCACCCCACCACCCCCTCCCTCCCTCCCTCCCACCGCAGCAAACCTTCGGCTCCCGCTCAGAGGCTCACCGCGCCCGTGCTGCGCGCCGAGGCGGCGCCGAGGCCGGCGCCTTGCACCCGGCCCGCGGCCGGCACCGCCTCGCCCCACAACTGACCGCCCTGCGGCCCCTGCGCAGGCGTGCCTCAGCGTCGCTCAAAAGCGACGGCCGGGTGTGGGATGCTCCCTTGCCCCGTCACCCGCCGCGCCCTCACCCGGCCGCCTCACCGCGCACGGAGCGCTCGGCTGCTCGCCGCCGCCGCCGCGCGTCCCGCGCTGCCACGCTTGCCCTTGCCTTGACGCGCTCTGCGCAAGCAGAGCGCGCGTCGCTGGCACAGACGGAGCAGCGACCGCGCCAGCGGTCGCTGCTCCGCCCCTCCGTCGCGCGCGCCGCGCGCGCGCTGCCGCCGCCGCCGCCGCCGCCCCCTCCTCGACGTCTTTGCCTCCGTGTGGTGTGTGGTGCAGCGCGCGCGCTACGCGCGCCCCCGCCCCCGCCCCCGCCCCCGCCCCCGCCCCCCCCCCCCGCCCCCGTGTGCGTAGAAAGTGGAACCGATCGAGAGGTGCCGCTGCCGGAGCCGCCGTGTGTGACACATGTTGTGGCACGTGAATGAGACAGAGCCGGCGCGCGCAGCGCGCGGCGGCGTTGGTTTTATGCAACATGCAAACGGGACGGCCTGCGCAGCCTCTAACTATTTATGATGTTTTCAACCCTTTTCCTGGCTCACACAAGCTAAAGATGTTCACGGGCCCCCTCTTCGCATGGGGGGCCCCGGGTACTCTTTAGCTGTACTCGTCAGGCAGGTGTTGTTGTGTTTTCGCGGGCAGCTTTCAGCCCAGAAGTTTTGACTCTCTCGAAGTTTTGCGAGAAGTTTTGCGTTTCTTTTACAGTCAGGTGGTTCGCCTGTGATAGTGCTAGCACGCGCCAGTCCGCACCTGTGTCGAGCCTGTCTGCTTTGAAAAAAAAGCGCTGAAAATTCTTTTACAGCGCGGCGCGGCGAGGGTGCTGAATCGGTGAGGCGATGAGCGGAGAGGAGGGATCGGAGCCGGATGCGGCGGCGGCCACTGGTGTGCAGGCGTGCGAGGAAGAGGCTCGAGGAGGAGAGGCCAAACGCGTCAAGCGAGCCCCAGCACAGCCATCGCGACCTCAGACGGCCGGTGGCGCGGCGGGGTCCAGCACGCTGGCAGACGATCTGACGGCGGACCTCTACAGC